CCAATTATCCCACTGGCACTATGGGGAGGTGCCAGGCCATCAGCACCCGGAGGGGACTTCTGTAAAGATGGGGGAAGCAGCTGCCATCCTATTGTGGGCCCATTCTGAGGTTCTACTAGTTTGTCAGGATCCTCTGTTTTTGTGTTATGTGATATGCCAGCAGACATTGGCACTCCTACTATTAGAGTGTCATGGAGGCCTCCTTTACTGTCCACCGGGCCCCAGTGGAGGCTGCAGTGCCCAGAAGCACCTATGGAAGAGAGGGCAGTCTCCTCAACCAATGGGAAATGGAACGTACACACACAAAACAATTGAGACAAACAAGTCACTACTAAGAACATAAAAATGCACAGCATCATTAATCATTAGTCAAATGTAAATCAAAACTGCAGAAAGAAATCACCTCCTCCAAGAGAGAATGGCTATTACAAAAATGATGAAAGATAACAAATGTTGGTTTGGATGTGGGAAAAGGGGGATCCTTGTATGTTGTTGCTAGGGAAGTAAATTAGTTCAGTTGTTATGGAAAACAGTATAGAGTTCCTCAAAAGACTAAATATAATGCTATAATATCATCCAGAAATTCCACTGCTGTATTTGGACCCCAAATAGATGAAACCACCATGAAGAAGTCATGTCTGCACTCATGTTCATTCTGGCATTGCTTGTAATAGTCAAGGTAAAACTCAATCTATGTATTCATCAGTGAATAAAGTATGTCTATATATATGTGCATATATAATACTACACATAAATTACTCAGTCTCAGATGTTCTATTGTAGTATCAGAAAAGGGATCAAGAGATGCTCCGTGATCAAATCTAATAATAATTATCTTTGTAGGCATGTATGTATGTACGTATATACATGCACACTGTATTTTCTTTGTCTATATGCATGGCCATAAGAAGAATGAAATCCTGACATTTTACGACACTGTAGATGATCCTATGGGACGTTATGTTAAGTAGAATGATCCAGGTACATAAAGACAAGTACTGCATTATCTGACTCATGTAGAATCTAAAAAGTCCGTATTATGGAAGTGGAAAGTAGAATGGTGTGGTTCCATGTGGGGCTCTGCTGGTGAGGTTGAAGCTTAACATTTTCCAGATAGCCAACTGAGCTTGGTCTATTATGATGAACTCCCTTTCTCAGCAGGGTAACCTCTCTGAACCCTAAAATCCCCTAAGGAGTATCACATAGCCCTCAGGGAAAATTACAGGCTGGATCCTTTTCTGATAAGAAAACCTGTTTACCAAGCACCTGGGGATTCCTGGAAATACCCCACCCTATGCCAATGAGATCTTAGCTTTAAGCAAGTGACCTTTGATTGTACCTTGAGATTTTCCCCCACCCAGAGGATAATTAGGTACTGTGTTCTCCTCCTGTGATAGGACTGTGCTACTCTATATAAATGTACTACTACATGTAAATCAAGTATCCCTAGCACCTCTAGCCCCAGCAGCTCAAACACATTCACCCTTGAAATGCCTCCCACTGCCCAAGGTTTATAAATCTCTGATTTAACATGAAATAAAGGTGTTGCATAGTATGTGATACCATCAGCTTTCCTACATGGCCACCTGAGATTTGTCATTTTTTCTGAGGGAAGGAGAGTTTCCCTTCTCCCTGGAGATTCACTGCTGGACACCCAAACTGGACTGCCAGTCAAGGAGCTATCTGCCTGGCCTCTGAGAGCTTCTGGACCAGGGGTAGTAGTGGGGGTGGTGCTTGGAGGGGGCGGGGGTTGCTTGACTGCCAGTCAGTCAGCCAAGAGCGTGGTGTGCTGAACTGCCTGCACCCTACCAGCACTGTATCTCACCAGACTGCCTTCTGGCTGGTTTGGGGCATCTGTCTGTATTCTCTGCCATGCTTAGCACAGCAGCTTAACCAAGGATCTGTAACACTTTGGTATTGCCATAGGCTTTGGAATGCCTGAGCTTCCATAGCCACCTTTCATAGCCAGGAGGCCCACATGCTGCTCTGCCAGAAGTGCACGCTTCTCTTGTGGGAAGGTCTGAGTGCCTTTGGCTTCCTGATGGAAAAGAGTAAAGCGTGGGGTCAAAGGTTCTGCCTCTCTCAGGAACACCATTTTCATGCCCAAGAAGAATGAGAGATCTGTGCCAGACCTCCAGTTCATCAGGAGGTGCAGGAGAAAATATTTCTCCTGCAATTAAGTATTTACAATAAGTATTACTCTCCGTTAGCTGGGCTGCCAGTACCAAGCCAACTGGCAGTGGAGAGCTCAGGGCTCCAAAACCCAAGCCAGAAGGCAGAGAGCCTGATTCAGGTGAGTTGGTGACTGCATCAGGAATAACCACCGAAGATGAACTGTGGAAAGCAGGACGGTTAAGGCACAGAGGCTCAGCATCTCTCATCAAGCTTCAGAGCTGGGTCCCGAGGTGGCTGGCATTGGCGATTGAGATGTGAGCTCGTTCAGCAGCAGCAGTGTCAAGGTAGAAGTTTGCATCCCAAGCAAGCCTGGCTAGGCAGGTGAATTTGAAGGTTCAGTGAGGAAGCAGCGAGTCTTGGATGGTCATGGTGGCGAAATGGAGTGAAAGAGACTTTATTTCATGAATCAGGAACATTATAATCTTTGGGCAGTGGGCAGGGTTTCGGGAGCGAGTGTGTTTGATTTGCTGGGGCTAGGAGTGCCAGGGATACTTCATTTACATGTAGCAGCGCAGTCCTAACACAAGAAGGGGAACACAGTACTTAATTATCCTATGGGCAGCAGGGGGTTGGGGAAAGAAATCCAGGTACAGTTAGCACTATGGGAAAAGGTCATTGGTTGAAAGCTAGGGTACCAAGACATCTCATTAGCATGGGGAGAGTACTTCCAGGAATTCCCGGTGCACAATGGATGGATTTCTTATTGGGCCTAAGATCTTCCTTAGAAGATCTGGGGTTTTCCCCAGATCAGGTAGAGAGGAGGGAACCCAGCTGAGGAAGGGGTCCATCATTTTCCTCTGAGCTCAGGGGCTTTCTGGAAATGCCAGACTTCGACCTTAACAGCAGGTTCCCACAGAATGGTACCTACTGAAGTTCAGGGGTGGTTAATGGGGATGCAGTTGCAAGGCATTGGTCAAAGGCACAGAATTGTGGCTAGAAAAGGGAAATGGACTCTAAAGAGAGTAGTTGATATATTGTATTCTTAAAAATTGCAAAGAGTATGGGTGTTGTGTGTCTTTACCACAAAGTGATTGATGACTGTGTGAGGTGATACATTTGCTAATTAGCTAGCATTACTGTTTCACTATGTGTACATACTTAAAAATAGATTGTGCGTGATAAAAATTTTATGTTATCTGCCAATTTTTAGAGTGTGATTAAGGAGGGGGGGAGATGGTTTAGTGGTTTAGAGCATTTAGTGCTCTCAGAGAGGGCTGGAATTTGGTTGCCAGCCCCCACATGGTAGCTTATAACTGCCTGTAACTCCAGCTCCAGGTGATCCAGTGCCCTCTTTGGGCTTCCCTGGCATACATACATGCACATATGGAAATTCGAGCAAAACAGTCATATACATTAAATAAAAACAAACACATTTTTAAGAGAGAAAGGATGAAGTGCCACTGGGAGTGGGGAGATGCTGTTTGGTCTGGCTAACGTTTTTAAGGCTGAGGAGATGGCTCAGCAGGTCAGCCCACCCACTGCTCTTGTAGAGGACTCAGCTCAGTTCTCAGCACCCACATTGTAACTGCTTGCAACTCCAGATCCATGGGGTTCAGTGACCTCTTCTGGCTTCTGTGGGCACGTGCTGTCACACACACACACACACACACACACACACACACAGTAAATAAATAAATATTTTTGAAAGGAAGGAAATTTAAATAAGCAAAAAAAGAAGTAAAAAAGGAAAAGGGGATATTAGATAAGAGAAGTGAGAAAAGGTGAAGAAGCACAGGAAGTGAGACACTTGAAATAAATAGAAAGAGGAAACCAGAGACGGTAAATGTGTTGGGAGTTTTTAAGTAAATAAAATACAGGAATCCAGACAAGTGAGAAATTTGACTTAAACAAAACTGGTGAAAATAAATAAAGGAAGTGAGAACTGTGAAGTGTGCAGGGGGTAGAAAGGAATCCAGATGTGAGACGTGAGAAAGGGGAAGTGAGAAACGTGAAATATATGGGGTGAGGGAGAGCCAGACATGGGAAAAGGGAAGTGAGAACTGTGAAGCCTATGGGGTGAGGGAGAGCCA